TGCGATGCGTATCTTCCCAGATTGCCTTCTTGGGGACGTGCTTCCCCGCTGCCAGACGGGCTTCTCGCCGTGCACCGCAGTGCATTAGAGTGTATTTGCACGGTGATTTATCGAGGTGGCGCTGGTGAAAACGGGGCGCCACCCGATGAAAACCGTGGCGGATTCCTCACCGTAGGGCCGCTAGCGCCGGCCCCACCTGGTGAAAACTCAATGAGGGCGGGTAATGAAAACGCTGATAATTATCCGTGCAAATACACTCTATTGTGCGCGGTTTCATTGACTGCACCCGGGGCACTGAACGCCGGGCTCGGGTTACAGCGGTTTGCATATCGGTGGGCCGCTTTGCAAAACATGTTGAGGTCCATTGGCGACCCAACGATATGCAAGCCCAATCAGTGACGCTCCAAGACCCCACCGAGCGCGCCGCCCAGCAGGGCCTAGCGAAGGTGGTTCAATACATCTCGGTGGTACCCTCCCGCCTCTCGTGTGGCGGATCGGACTCGTATTTTGGGCACCGATCCGAGCGTGTTGTTTCCGAATGGACCCACGGGATTTGGACCAGGACACGCCGCTGACGTCGTTCGCTGCCTATATGCACCCTGCAGAGCTCCTCGCACTCCGCAAGACGGCCGCCGCGCGACCGAAAGAGACAAAGAAACGCGCCCGGGACGACGATACCGACTCGGGAACACCTGTGCCGTCAGGGAAGAAGAAAAAGGCCAAGCGGCCGCCGCTCGTTCCCGTCGTCGTGGATGGTGCCCCTGGGGACGATGACGCGCTCCGAGGGCCTGCCCAAGACACCACCGTCGGCGAGGATGCGGGTCCTCTGCCAGGAAAACCACCACCACCCTCGACGTCGACCGCCCCCGGGGGTTTGCTAGCCGGTGCGTCATCTGCGCTCGTATTCCTTCCTCTGTCTATCTGTCGTGTTGCGGGGATGTCCGTGTGTTCGTGTGGTGCGTGGTGCGTTGACGGACGTGTCCTCATCTCCTCCAGAGTCTTTCCGTCAGTTGTTTCTGAATCGGCGTCGCGTCTACTCTCTACCAATGAGGAGCTAGAATATCCAGTTTCCAACCGTCTGCGAAAGGAGTCTAATGGAATACCCGTCGTTCTGAGACACGTCCGGGCGGACGAGAGCTCTGTATGCAGCAGCACGCGGGTAGCATGGATCGTCGCGTCGAATGATCGTCCCATCCCGCCCTGCTCCGCGCCGCGAGCGTTGCAGATGATGAGCGGGAGATCGTCCCCCTCCAGGAGGGGCAATCGCAGTCCTGCAACGGCGAGGGACGCCGGACGCTCTGCCTCATATGCATCAGTTAGCCTTCCGCGCTCGGCCTTCGGCTGACGGTACCTACTCATTACCGCCACCACCATGACCATCAGCATCCGCTGCGCGTCTGCGAGAAGCGTGATGTCGTCGCTGAGTTGGACTGGACGTGGCGTGGTTCTCGCCCTCGATGGCCGGGAGTGACTCGGGTGCTGCAGGACGCGCTCGCTCGGTTCACGGACGCGGACAAGGGCCGGCTCGTCAACGTGCGTTCGCTA